GGTACCTCGCAGAAAGCTCTTGGGGGGTTTGCGAGGGCGATTCCGGTGCAATATGAATAAAAAATCAATGAATAAATAAAAATGTGCAAAAAAAACTAACATGCCCCCCTCATTTGGCGATTCCGGTTCATCACACATAAATATATATATATACATATATATATATAGATATAGATGTATAGGTATGTTTCTTAAACACGCCCCTTCGATGGCGATTCCGGTTCATCATGCATCTTAAACACGCCCCGTGATTTGGCGATACCGCTTCATCATGTATCTTAAACATGCCCCTTCATTCGGCGATTCCGGTTCATCATATATCTTAAACACGCCCCCTCATTTTGCGATTCCGGCTCCTCATATTCATATATATATATATAGATAGATATAGATATAGATATATCTTAAACACGCCACCACAAAACACATAAATATGACCAGCAAAAGACGTTACCCTGAAGCTTGCAGGGGCCATGATAATCCCAAATGACGGCATGGAGGTCCTGTTATACAAAAGGCAACTAAAGGCAACATGATAGATTGACTGTGTAGCGAGATAGCCTTACTGGTATATCCTAGCAGAAAATAACAAACCAGTAAATACGTACCTTGGCTTGACAGCGTCCCAGTTTAACAAGGCCAAATGTTCAACGGAGTGGGAATGAGAACTTAGGTGGAGCTTCAGAATCAAAGCCAAGACCGTCAACTACAACGCAAGGCTTTGAAGCCAGATACGCAAATAGTCGACAAGCATCGAGCCACCTAACTTCCCAGTAAGAGGGCCGGTAAGGCGACATCGACAATCCCGAAGCTATGAAGACCAAACCCTGAACCATAACCCGGCAAGCCATTGCAGTCTGCAGGCCTGCATCTCACGATACTGCCGACTCATTTCCTCGGCTCTCATTAACAAAATGAAAAACACACTCTGAAGCCCCAAACCCTGGCTTCAGTTGGACGCGACAACTGCGGGGCATAGACCTCCTGCGACCCCGATTCCTGGATCCTGCACCTCCTGATCTGCAGTCTGGGTCTTCGAGGGGTGCGACTGTGACGCGACGAAGGGCCGATTGCGGCTTCAACGACAGCGACAACGACTCGCAATGCAGTCAGCCATTGCTAGCGATTACTACTATCCTTGCAGTTGTATAAGCAGCGAGCCTTGAAGGGGAGTCCTCGCGGGGAGTCCACTCCGAGAAGCTTTACTAACCCGGCCGGCCCATCTCTTTCACAAAATCCCAAACTCTGACTCTAATCACTCTAATCCATCTGAATGGCTGCTGTGTGTTCTCTGCACCGGACGGCTTCGTCATCGAAAGCCTTGAACCGTCGCAGAAGACTTGGGCTCATGACGAAGTGGGCTGGGGTTTAAGATGCTTCGCTGCCCCTGAGTCTTAGGAATAGGCACACGAAATCGTACCAAGACAACCACTAGCAACCTTGGTTCCGTTCTCTCCCATCTTGAATACACACAAACCCGAGCCCATTGCAACGTCCCTCTTTGAAAGCCACAACCCGAAACGGCTCCTCCATATTCAAGTGCACCACATGCCGAAAGCACTCTCAATCGGCCCTTCTGCGAGCTTGGGCCTTGTCAAGCTCTGCGATGCGCTTCCTGCAGTCAGCAATGTTGGGGAGCAGAAGAACTGCAAGGCGGATCACGCGATGCCACAAGACATAGCCAAACCTGCTGTCACGAGTGAACCCTAAGACCAAAACCCTAAACCCCTCAACCCTAAACCCAAAGCCCGTGAAAGTCTTATTCTCCCAAGAAGTGAAACTTGAGCTTCACATAGCATGGCCGCCTCAGCTCATCCTCAGATTTGCGGCAGGCGAGAATCTGCTCGTCCTTCATCATGATCCTGGTTTCGACTGCAAGGAGTTTTCAGGGTCGAAGGCCTAACTTGCCAAGAGCGAGAGAGAAAGCTGGGTGCACCTTCCCTCGCCTCGCCGTAGAGAGGCAGGTGTCCAGGCATAAATAAATAAATAAATGAATAAATAAATATATATATATATATTATATACACACACACATTGTACATCTACCCTGCAGTCATGCACGACCACATCGGACATACCCCGGCGTCCACGCAAATGATCTTGTACTTAACTGTAACTGCCAGCATCGGTGTGCTTGTGCAGGCAGGTACATATTGATATAGCTACCTACATACAGGCTTACAGGCATTATTGCTAAAGAACATCTAACCCATGAACAGGGTCAAGCTGGACCCCTAAACCCGAAAAAGGCTCTTGTGGAAACCTTATTATAAGCCCTGGTAACAGCTACAGAATTCAAAAAATAAAAAAAGGAAACTTTTGCAGAAACCCAGGGAGCCTGTATTGCAGCACCTCGATCTTCCGCTGCATAAACGCACTCTCCTCACAGGTCGATACGCAAAAACTGGTCCCGTTCCCGGGATGGTGCGTCTAGCCACAACGACCCGTGCCTTCTCCTGTATTATGGTACTTTGTATTACAATAGATGATATACTGTTATAACCCAGATTAAGGCTACCGCCGCTGAGAGGCCCCAGGCAGGCAGAGTCTACAAGTCTGCGACTCTGCAGCCCGACTTCCTTTGGCGAAGGCCTTGTCCAAAAAAAGCTGAAAGGGAGATAACTTGATGTAGCTCTGAACCCGAGAGGAACACCTTCAACCTAAACCCAAGAGCCCAAAAGCCTACATCAGCTTTTCCGCCTCCGCGAAGTTGATGTCATCGCCGCCGCCCTTCTTGTCACCCATGCTGTGTCCTGGGATTGTTCGAAGTGCGGGGCCTATCGCATTCACTATCCCATTAAGGCTTGGAGGGGGGCCAGTTATATTTCGTGGAGCACACTGCTCAAGAACTTGGATTCCTGGCTGATGCATGAAGGGGGAGCCAGGGTGCAGCTTTGGGAGCCGTGATGCTTTCTTCTCGAAATCTGGGAACCATCATATCCAGAGCTTGTGCTCACAGTGCTTGTTAGGTGCTTGAAAGCTCCTGCTGAAAGGATTTGTCGGAGATCCACAACACAACATGCCGACACCTGAAAACGCTGAGCTGCAATGGCGGGTCTCTGTTCCAAGCACCTCCACTCCTTGCCAGACTCCCAACTCAACAAGGAGAGCTTTAAATCCAATGAACCCGACAACCCGAAACTTAATGCTCGCCATGAGCACCATCATTCCGGTCATAATCATCATCATCATCATCATCATCGCACAGCCTGGGAGTCAAAAAAACAAAAACTACATCCCCAAAGCCCTCTATCCTAACCGCCGGTCAAGTCACGGACAGCCCAGCCGTCTGGCAGCTGCTCGAGCAATCGTTTCTAGGGGGAGAAGCTGAAAACGGCAGCCGCTGGACAGGCATGATAGAGATTTTCGGTTCAGGGCTTCGGAAAGGGCTTAAGATGATTAATACAGCTAATCCAATACAATACAGCAGAACAGAACAGTCCACAACACACAGAGGCACAATACATTGCACGATAATACAATTCAGCTCAATACAACACAATAGAATGCAAAATACCACATTATACTATAATCGTATATAGAACGGCAACATGTCATATTGTATCGCAAGATGCGAAATCAGATCGCATCGATTCGTGTCATGGATTATCGTGTTCTTCCCAAATAATATCATACGATATGGTAGCGCATTGTAACATACCATTTCGTATTACATCAAATCATACCATATCATGCCATACTATACGACAAAACTGTCGAATATGGCATACAATACAATACAACTTCATGTCATACAACACGTTACAATACAATACAACATTATGTTTGAACATACTATACTATGGTATCCTCTAGTATAACATGGTCGAAATTTGATGTTTCGACAAGGCTATATTACGCAGCGGCATGTAACGGCTGTTCAGGAAGTTTCCCGGCACACACCTCGCGCAGGACTGGAGGGGCACCCCTGACATGTTTTTCCTTGCGCCGTATCTTCCAGCAGTACCAAGCATGGCCCGATGTAAGCGGCCATCCTTAAAGCATCCGGGGGCCCTAGTCTTCGTAAACAGGTTCTGAGCAGGGTGCTGTACTGCAAACTGACCAGTCCAATTGAATCCTACGTACGGTACATGAACCCGTATTTCACCATCTAGACGATACACATCCAACAAGATGCTATGGAACTCCAGTTGTAGCTACTGCACCCAGGCACTGAAGACTTGCAACACATTGCCCTAAACCCGCGACAGGTTTCAGTGCATCAGGAAGCCCTGTGCCGCCAACAGATCGTGGTGCCGCTGTGGCCATTCTTTTCTCCTGCGACCATCTGCGTCTGTGGTGGCGTGTGGGCGCCCACCTTGCGACTTACAGATGATCATGGAACTCGGGGCTTCTGCCTTGGGGATCCTCGTTCTTAACGTGGAAGCCTAAGCTTTCTGAGGTACTGGAGGAGCTCAGGCCATCCCAAGCTTCCAGTTGGCTCCATGAGTGGGGGGTGAGGTCCTTGGCCGCAAGACGCTTCAAGCATCTCACCTATCCAGGAGCTCATCGTCAGCATCATGTTGCCCATGCTAGCACTATCAACATCAGCTAGTAGATCTTCGTGATTGAACTCATTGCTTTTGCTCACCTCGCCCGTAGCATAGACATCACCGTGGTTCTCCGGCATGGTGCAGTGGGGGGCACAAGCAGCCCTGAGACTTCACTCCAAACCCATACAACCTCAGAAAGACCACAGTCCTTCCCAACGAACCCTAATTATCCGTCAATCACTATATGGTTGCTACTAGGAAACCATGAAACTCTACACACCCCACAAAGAACCGGGCCTTCTTCCAGCGCACGCCTTGTGCGCGCGCTTCCTCGCAGTCCAGGAGGCCAAGGCGTCGATGCTGCCTGGAAGTTGGCTCTCAGCCGGCTTTGGGGATTTGGGACTTCGGAGTTTTGCGGGGTACAGTAGAAGTATAGTAGTATATTAGTATAGTATAATAACTATAGTACAAACGATAGTATAGTTTGGTATAGGCTTTTATGGGAAGTTCGGGGTTCATATAGGGGAGCAGTAGGCTTTTGGAGGCTCAGGGTGTCGAAGCTTCAAAGACCGACAGAGCCCTGAGCCCGAGCACTGACATGCCACGACGTCGTGCTGTGAGCACAAACCACCTTTTTGCCTCCCACCTCAGGGTTTCGACTCTCACCTCAGGGTTTAGGGTTTGTTGACGGTTGGTTCCGTCGGGCTGCATCTGAGCAGCGGCCTCTGTGCTATCTCAACAGTTCGCACCATGAGGAAACGGATTGAAGGCAAAATGCCGACTCCCGTTTTATGCACAACAAGACGTCTGAAAGCTCAAGCTCATTCTATGCACGAAACTTTACATGTGTTTCGCAGAATGATGAAGTCTGCTGCGTAGGTGTACAAGTGCAGCTGTTTCCTTCATCGTTAAATGTCCTACAATCTGCTGCTCGTGTTCATTCGCATGGGCTAGGGAGCTTGACCGTAGCCTTCCCCGGAACCATTCACGGCAGCATTACACACGACACATAGCCCATGAATCAGCTTTCTGCAGGTTTAGGATTTAGGGGAGCCCCTGAACCGTGTTTAAACCTGGAGGTCTTGGATGTACCTAAACATGCCCAGACCAGCACAAAGCCCAGACTGCCCAGATCTCAAAACAGCTCGGGCGCAATAGACCACCCTATATATCCCTAAACCCTATATATATGTAAGTGAGCCGAGCAGCACGGGGGGGACTGAGCCATCGAGGCAAAGGTTCGTGAAGGAGGTATCCACGGGCCCCCACTGCCTTACGGGGGCCAAACGAAGTTGGGTGTAGGGTGCAGGGTACGAGGTTTCGGGCTTGGAGCTGCCAGGGAACTGAGGCTTAAGGGCGGTCTGTTCGGAAGTACTCGTGGCTGCCACTACAGATGTGGGCAACCAGAGGATTCGGAGCGTGCGAAGACATGCATACCCGGTTCAGCTCATTCACCGGGAGCACTTTAGCAGGTAATGAGCTATCAAGTGCAGTCGGGTACTCGAACAAAGCCTGCGGCTATTGCAGTATCTCGACGGCAGGGACACGGACACATCTACACACACCTCCCCCCGCACACAAGGACACACACGGACACACATACACACCGACAGACACAGAAACAAAGGGACAAATATCTAGACAACTAGACAGACACACGCTCGCACCACCACGCAGACATAGATAAGTGTACGAAAGCAAAATGTAGAATACAGTTATATGGACATAAATCTAAATACACGTATTGGCATAGCCATAACAACAGATAGAGATAGAAAAGACATAGAAATGGATCTAGATATAGGTAAAAGCATAGCTATACTACAGAATACTACAGAGAGGGATAGACATGGAGACAGAGATGGAAATAGCGATGGAGATGGTGACGGAGATAGTGATAATGATAGGGGTAGGGATAGGGATAGGGAGAGGATGGAGAGAAAGATACCGAGAGGGTTTAGCGGTAGAGATGGACCTATGGCTACAGCCATGTCTATCTCTGAATCTATCTATCTGTATCTATACCTATGTCTACATCTTAAAGGATATGTGCGCATGTACATATATACACATACATGTATGTGTATATATAGGTGTATATAGAGTTATTATATGGCTACATAGCTATACAGCTATGTAGCTGTATGGCTGTATAGCTGCAAAGCTGCATAGCTACATAGCTTCATAAATAGACTTATAGATCCAGGTCTAGATGTCGTTCTGGCTATAGACATGAAAGTGTGCGTGTGTGTGTGTGTGTGTAACTGTATGTACAGGTACGTAAGTACGTAGATATGTGGGCATACAAATGTACAGTTATGTGGACACATAGATATACAAGTGCACAGGTACACTAGCACAAGACACATATCTCTGTGTGTGTGTGTGCGAGCACGCCCACACGCACTCACTATTGAGCAGCGGCCAAGATTACTCATGAAAGCCAAATTGAAATCGATGTTTATGGTGCGGGTTAGCGGACATGCTATAGCCGAGGTCAGCACCTGCCTCCTTTACGAGGTGCATGTCCCACTTCTGGGGAACACACATCCTGTAGCCAGGGCCGACTACTAAATCTTGCAAAGATTCTGGAGGCTGCTTAGAATTGCAGCTGCCTCCATCGAAAATTGAATTGTGGCCTTATGGCCTGTCTGCCATGCAGTGTTTCTGGGCATAGATGCACATCTCGGCGCGTTCCACCTGTACATTCCGGCGACGCCGCCGATGGTCAAACAGCCAAACCCATCATAAGGCATTCTAAGGTCTTGCACCGCTTGTGCACCAGTCTCTGTACGGGGGCACGTTGCAAAAGCAGGTTTTGCACATCTCTAACTCAGTCAGACATGCACTGGAAGCTCTCCCATCCTACGCCCCTCTCCCTGTTTCGAAGGCTTAATCTCTTCGAAGCCGAAAGGTCCCCAAGGATCGGAAGGCTGAGGCAAAGAGCCTCCCACCGGCGCAGGCCAGCTTCCCGGCTGGTGCCCCGGGATAGGAGTCCAAGGAGAGGGGCCCGTGAAGGGCCCCAAGGGCCAGGGCAGCACTTGTGGGCTCTGTGGGCTCTGTGGGTTCTGTGGGGTGGGCTCCATGGGACTCTGGGGTTGGATGGTCGGCTGGGTCTGCAGCTTCTTGGGGAAGAGGGAGACGGACTGATCAGTGATGTCGAAGACGGTGTAGTAGAAGGCCCAGAGAGGAAGCCCAAGGATGATGTTGGTCCCAACTCCACCTTTTGACAGGGCCGCCCTATTGTTCAGGGCGATCAGGTCGAAGCTCACCGGAACCTCCTTTTCTCCGGAGGCGCCAGGCAAATAGAAGGTTAAGCTTGCAGGCTCTCCGAAGTCGATCAGCGCGGCGGCAGCCTCGAAGACATCGGGCGGAAGCACAAGCGCAGGGGTTCCTGTGTCCTCGGTTACTTCTCCCACGCACAACCCGAAGATATGGTGATGTGCGTGAAGGGCGTGCCTTCCGAAACCGCTATACCCATCTTCCGAGCCGAGGTTCCATGATGCACTGCTTGCCAGGCGTGTTCGGATCGCAATCAAAGTTGGCGAACTCCTGGCCACCTAACTTAATCTTCTGCACCGTGATGTCGTACCAACCCACCTCTCCCAGCACAGCCGGGCCAAGAACTGACGACTTGTCGTAGTGCCTCGCCATGGAAGCTTGGGGTTGAAGAAAGAAGATTCCACCAAACTTCCAAGAATCAGACAGACACGAAACCGAGGCCCCCGGTACTCCAAGATGCCCGAGACCAGCCCAAAACCCATCGAGATCCACGTGATCTTTAATAAACCCTCCTTAAACCCCTGTCGGACCCTAAAGGGCCCACATAACAAAACAACAACTATTCCCCCCTGTCCGGAAGGTCAGGCGAGGAGCTCGTTTGTCACGGCCGCTTCATCAAGGTACAGTCGGCCCTGGTTCTCTCCCACCTGCCCGGACCAGTAGATACCAAGCTTCTGCACCCCACCTCAGGGCTTAGGGTCTCGGGTTCAGGGCTATGGCGGTTGCAGGGTTCAAGTCTCCAGCGGCTAGTGCAGTGTAGGGGCCTTAATGATTAGAAGAGGGCTTTGGGGTCGATTATGCTATCGTTATTATGGGGAGCCCCTACAATAGTATAGCTAATTATGTGGGCCCCTATATTATAGCACTTCGGGATGCTTCAGGTTTTGAAGGTCGAGGTTCTTGCATCGAGAACCTCGGGCGATTCAGCGAAGAGAAACATGGTGGAATCGACACGCTTTAGTTGGATTTAGCCTAAGGCCTATCAGCCACCCAAATACAAACTGGCGGATCAGAGCTTTCAGGGTAGCTGCGGATAGCTCCAAAGGTCCCACCTTCCGATCGAAGCTGCTGGATCATCGGAGGTGGCACCACACCGGCTGCCTCCGGGCACGAAGCCTTGCCGGAGTACCAGTTGGGCAGCGTCGTACCCGCAGGATAGGCAACCTCATCGATGCAACTTTTCGCCTCTAACCCCGTGAAGGCTACAAATAGATATTCGATTAGATGACAGATTGTGACTGCGGGTAGATGGAAGACAGTCTCAGCGCAGCCCGGCGGCATCCAACTGACGGAAAGCAATGCCGAAAATTCCTTGAATACCGTCTTTACACGGCATGTTCTCCTCAAAAGCCATAATGCTGTACGAGGCCTTCTTGAAAGTCATGTTGCCAGCCAGGACGTCTCCCTGAACGAAGGGGCCCCAATACCCTGTCGGATCCCCTCCTGGGTTGTACTGATTGCAAGAGATGTAGTCCGTGGACTCAAAAGCAGCCTCTTGGAGAAAGCTGCTCTGACAAAACGCAAGCGTCGATGAACCCGTGTCCACGACCAGCTTCTGCGCCGGCAACAGCTGCCCGCTCGAGGACACAGGTGAAACTGCCATCAGCAGCCGCTGACCTCCCGACCAGGAGACTGCAGATAGTGGGATGGAGGACTCTTGCACGCTCCTGGACCGAATCGTCACCGGGGCATACGTTGGGTGTTCGCGGTCTGTCTGATTCCCAGGCCTCCCGGAACTCTTGAAGCGTCGCTTGGTTTCGTTGCTTCCGTCAAGCACCGACTCTGCTTCCTTCTTGACATGCTGCAGCTCCTCACAGCCCTGCAGTGTCAGGAAGAAGCCAGCTAGGACCGCAGGAAAGACCAAACGGATGAGCGCCTTCAGCTGCCACATCACGTCCAAGCCCTCTGGCTTCACCTCCAGTCTTCGACCCAAGGCCGAAAAAACGCCCAAGCCCCCTTACAGACCCAAGCCCTCTGTCATTAAAGAACCCCCGGCCACCTCCGGCCTGGTCTCTGTGTTCTTGCCAGTCGTGGCCCAGCAGCTCTCGTCTCTGCGAGGATGCTGCAGTGCTTGGGTCTGGTGAGCTGCGCAAGTCGGGCGGAAGAAGCCTAACAATACCTATTCCTAATAACAACAACAATAGCAATAGCAACAGTAACAATTACAATGACACAAATAATGCTGACAATACTATTGCGAAAAACAGGAATGATAGCAGCAACAATCATAGAAATGGTTGTTATGGCGAAGCTATAGATAAAGATAGTAATGGTGGTGGTGGTGGTGGTGGCAATGGAAACAATGATTCTGACAAAGATGAAAGATGAGAATATTTGGGGGCTTCGGGGTGCTTTGAGCAGGGCCGCATGCTGCTTGCTGGGCCCTGGACCGTCAAATTGTTGCATGCATCAAAAACTGCCATCATCGCCACCACCGGTGCTGTCAAGCCACCAGATGGAATGTCATCACCATCGTCATGACTAGCAACACCGTCGCCAATGCCACCGCTCTCAGCCAAGGTGTATCATGTTGGGCTTCTTTTGTTTCCTCGGCACATCAAAAGATCCAAGTGACTTCCTGCAAGATGTGGGCTTGCAGACATCCCGGGTCCAGAACACATCTGCGTCCGAGGCACGTCAGGTGGCCTGCAGGGGTCCTCAGCTGTTTTTCCAATGCCGTACACCTGAACGTAACATGCCAAACCCTCAAGCGATTGTGGGAAGGCAAACAGGCTCCCTTCGCGCCACGGCCCGCCAAGTCAGGCGAAAAATGCTTAAGGCGTAAGGTAGCTCTTGTGCATGTCGCTCCACTCAGTCGTGGTCGCAAATTTGCAAGTGTACTTCGGGGTTAACTTACTTGCATATGTCGAGCCTACCCAAACCATGCAGAGCTGTCTGCCTGCTTGTGTGTGTTGATGCCCCGTGGACCCGTCTGAAGCGCCATTCATGCAGCCAAGCTACAGCCAGAGAGCTTGGTTTGTGTTGACGACGCCATGCGGCGCATGCACGTCCTCCATGCTGTAGCACACCTTGACGGTGCTGCAGTTCAATCGGCTCACCGACATCTGCGTTAAATGCACGTGAAGGCAGAATATCTGGCAGGGCAAGCAGATTACAGATTCGGCCGGCAAGGTCTGCATCCCTTCTTGGGACACTGGCAGCGACATCAACCGAAAAGCTCAAACTGTCCTCCTCGCACGACGCACCCGGCCACAACAATGGCTGAAGAACAGAAGTAGGCTCTGAATTCTGAACACCAAGCCTAGCAGCATACAGGAGGGGGCTTTGACCGTTGTCGATGTCCAGACCTCGGGCGAAAGTTGTTGTTCTGGCATAGCGTGTTCACGTGATCTACGGGTACGAGTAGCGCAGAATCCGGGGGTTACCCCACACCGCCCCGGCGTGCTTGTGGCTTGGTAGATGGCAGCAAGGTTGCCCTCGCCTCTCTCGTTCCTTCTGACTGAACTCCGCGATCTCACAGGCCCAAACCCGAAATCTTCGATCCTGACCCTGATCCCTCGGCTCTCTGCGAACTTCTGGCCGTCCTTGGAAAGCCCTACAATTAATCCCAAGAAAGCCTCGCAGCCTCGACGAAAGCAGGAGCAGCCGAGTGCCAGACAGATGTCCTTCTTTGCGGCAGGCTTCAAGCCTAACCTCGTGAAGTGCAGCTTAATGCGGGGAGGGCTCGAGGCTTCAGGGTGTCGAGGTTTCCGCCTTTAGGATCTAGGTGTCAGGGCTGCAGGCTCTCGGGTTTGAAGCCTTGTTCCCTTTTTTTCAAGGATCAACGCAGGGTACACCGGCCGATGAACGTCAGTGCATTAGACGGTGTTTATGGGAATACCCTGAGGATGCCGCACATTCATGAAGCCAGTGCAAGTCTGCATGTTTCAAGTCGCCGGCATGGTATCCTCCGCACCGGTGTCGATGACAGGGACATTTTCAGGGGTTTTCGACCCGCACTTTGCAACACTCAGGTACAGGCTGGATGTCAAGTCGCACGGTACCATAAGTCCAGGTTCCTAGAGGGTTCCGGGCTGGGGCCTCCGAATACAGCTTTCTAAAGGTTCTTATGCAATCTATTCACAGGTCGGATCGCCTATGTTTCCCTTTATGGGACCTTGTACAAGAGCAGTAAGTTTTTGCGAAGGCCCAGGGTCGAGGGTGTAAGATTTCAGGTTCAGGGGGCGTGCTGACCCTGGCAAACCCCTCTTTGGAAGAATGTAGGAACCTGATTAAGAAACCCCGGCCCTACAACCCAAATCATGGGGTCATTCAAAGAACCCTAATGGGACCCAGGGTGTCCTGATCAGGTTCCTACACCAGGTTCCACCCGCTTTCGCCACCGAGCAGCTTCAGAGAAGGCTTGGCCCATCGCCAGCGCTGCGCTTCGTCCTACGTCAAGCCATGCTAGGGGATGCTGCATGGTTCCGAATTTTTGGGTAGCATTTCGGGCTCCGAGGTACAAAAATAGAACCCTAGCAAACCTGGCCGACAAACGAAGAAGGTCCGGCCTCAAGCCGGCACTGCGCCAGAGAGGGCACCTGAGGATCTATTTTACTGATTTCTTTTTCCTCTCGCATGGCTGGGATTAAGCAGGGTTTAGGGTTCAGGGGAAACGGGCCTAGCGGGTTGAGAGGGAGATCTTAAGAGCCCCTGCTGGTATGTAGATAAAGATTCACTGGCGTTTCGGGTGAGTACTAAAGTCCGTGCTGCGGCCTGAAACTCGAGTGTTCAATGAAAAAGCCGCCAATTTGGAGTCTGCTTCGGCTTCTTTCACATGCTGATAAGAGGGTTGATGATTGAATTACTGCTCTGTCTGATGGTTTTATGGCTGCTCTCTCTTATTACGAGTTTGGTATGAGTCTCTTCTTATTATTCTCGCCATTGTCCTTCGTCCTGGTTTTGTGACCACTTTGAGAAGGCCGATGACATACTGTCAGTGTTGTACTGCCGCAGCTTTCACATGGTTGGCATTGGTTTCTTGCACTTCTGATCGTCGAAGGTTCCCTCTGTGCCCGAGTTTTGCTGAAAGTGTCTAGAAGGGGCGTTTGGGCTTCAGCTTTCGCAACGACTTTCTTGCCCTTCCCAAAGGAACACACCGCAACCCAACCTATAATAACCCTGAAGCCCCATCACACAAACCAAAAACTGGTCACGTCCGGTGTGTGTGTGTGTGCGCCTGTGTGCATGTATGTTCTCTTTCGTATGCACATATAGACATAAACATACATACATACATACATACATACATACATACATACATACCTACGTACGTACATACATACGTACGTACCATACATACATACATACATACATGCATACATGCATATACACATAAATATATGCAGATATACATATATACATATATACATCTACACATGTACGTATGTGTCTATGTATGTATGTACTTATGTATGTATGTATATATGCCTACATGTATACATATACACATCTACACATATATACATATATACATATATGCATATATACATATATACATATACACATATAAAAATATATGTACGTACATGTACGCACTTTTCTACATCTAAACATCTGAACATACATACATACATACATACATACATACATACATACATACATACATACATACGTACATACGTACATGCGTACGCACATTACAAACATACATACATACATACATACATACATACATACATACACACATATGTGTCTATACATTCATGACATGACATACATGCCTGCGTACATACATACCTACATACATACNNTACATGCGTACGTACGTACGTACATACATACGCGCATACACGTGTGTGTGCGTGTGTGTGTGTGTGTGTGTATGTGTGTCTCTCTGTCTCTCTGGCTCTCTGTCTCTCTGTGTCTCTCTGTCTCTGTGTCTCTGTGTGTCTCTGTGTCTCTGTGTCTCTGTGTCTCTGTGTCTCTGTGTCTCTGTGTCTCTGTGTCTCTGTGTTTGTTTGAGTGTGCGCCTGTACCTATACATATCTGTATGTGTGCATACAAGTTTATATATATATATATACTTATGTTTATACCTATAAGCATGTTTATATTTACATGTGTTTCCTTCGTTTACAGACATACATACACAGCTACATGTTCAGGTGCGCAGTTGCATACAGATCAGAACACCGAACTTAACCTAACGACCCCCCCTTCCGCCCGCGTGCCCTCACGTCGGTATCCGCCAAGGCCGTGAGGCAGTGCCCTGGGAAGCGCGTCAGGCTTTGATAGGTTCTGAGAACTTTCCGTATAAGGGGCCGGCGGGTTGAGCGCCTGCATTGTCTGTAGTTTCGCATTTGGGTTGGGTTGCAATGTGGACCCCACTCACTTTTGAGTGGGCGAAATCGGTTGGGAGTAGGTTCACACGTCTTTATTAATCCGTAGAGCCACGACTCCGTCTTTGGCAGGCTTCAGCCATATTCCATGTTCGTGCGTTGCTGTCTTGATGTACGTCCTGATTGGCTTCCCTGCCTGTCCTGCGTCTTTCCGTTTTATGATCCTCTGGCTTGGAGCACGGCTGCGCCGCCTCGATGCTGATCCTCCGTATCTGTTGCTTTTTATGCTTGCTGCCTTCAGCAACCAGCTCGGTGTCAGGCAGAGCTTGAATCTGTGCCTTTAGGGGGTAAAGTTGCAGGGCCCCGTGTCAACAAGGGCTATCAGCCAGGTCACAAGCGGAAAAGCCCTCAGTGACTGTCCCAGAGCCCAGACACTCCAAAAAACTCTAAAGATCACCCTGAAGCTGCCCCAAGCCGCCAGAGCCATGTAAACTCTGGAATGTTGAAAACCCCAACCCCAATCCTTTCGCCCCGAAACCCTTCCCCGAAGTTCTGGGCTTCAAATTTCCTCAGCTTATGAGAGCTTCCAGGGTCTCGGAGGAATGGCTTGCCTTGAGGGTCCCGGTCCAAGACCTAGACGTCTTGGCCTCTGCGGCCAGCTAAAACGCAGAGAGGATACACCCTAAATCCTAAACCCTAGGACGGGCATGGAGGGCGAGCACCGCCTGTAGCCAGGACGAGGCGGAATGTGTCGGTCCCCTCGACAGCCTCTTCGCATCTTCGGCAACAGAAGCATCACAAGGGTTACAGTAAGAGTTCAGGGGTTGGGTTTGAAAAGAGAAGGGGCGACCGGAGAAGGCTGCCAGAATGACATCGGATTTGGACTCACTCTCGAACTAGGGAAGATTCTGCAGGTCACACTGCGAGGACACCCGTGGAATGATGCAATCTCTGCAAATATCGCAGCAAGCAGATCCCTCACCCATCTTCGATTTCTCATGAGCGGGAGGAATCGTCGAACATGAATGCTATAATCCACCCGGCCTTAAGATTGGACATGATTGGACAGGCGTTCTCCCTTCGTAAGCAGCCAAAGCCACAAAATCAACTTCATAGGGCCACCTTGCTGAGTTTGTGGCTGGGCTCGACGGATTAAAACCACACAACGAAGGCTTGGCAAATAGGAACTGCTGCAACTCATCTTCCAACTGCCAGGACCGCGAGGAAGGAGTTTGTGCAGATCGGTGCACAGACGTCGTCCCAAGCTTCCGGCCAGCAAAATTTCGAAGCCTGAGAACTACCAATAAGTTTCTTGGTACTATGGTCAACCATATTCTAACCGCTGAGGCCCGTATACTACTATACAACCCGCTCGTCCGAACCTCAACACCCACGTACTGCGGCCTCCGCATGGAAACGCTGCTCCTCGGTAGCCTGCAGGCCATTCCCAGTACACGGTCGACCGGTATAGTGGTGTAGGGCTGTTAGAGTTGGCCCTGCCCAGGTGGTATTTCTGACTGTATCTTCACGACGATGGGCCCTCTTCGTCGTACTGCAACCCGGTTTATGCATGTAGCCGGTGTTCAGCTTGTTCGCGAAGACGCTCATGGTATGTCTACAAGTCCATGTGTTGTCTGTCTATGCCTCATGCACCTCTCAATGATTTGGCACGATTGTCCCCGGGGCGGATCTGCATAGCCTTGTACTTGCATGTCCACCTGCATTTTCATGTAGACATTCGTGACATACATGTCTGAATGTATGTGCCCACATGACGAGCCTATGAACCTCGAGAACATTTGAATGACTTGAACCACACTTTTCAAGACTACCTATAGTCTCCATTGTAGTTCGTTTGCGGGTTACCTTTTCGGATCCTTCACCTGAACTTGCTTAAACCAAAACAAGAACTACAATGGAGACTATAGCTACTGACAACATTGCTCCTGTTGCCCTGGCTGCACCTGGCCGCCAGGGGCACTAAAGCGACAGGCGCTCCACTGAACCTGCCCGGGACTTCTCAGAACTGGAGTTTCAGAGGTCACGCTGGTGCCTGCGTGTGTCGGAAAGCCGGGGCTTCGGGGTTCATTGCCTCTTTTTGGTGAAATTCGCCTCGGCCGCAGCCGAAGCGGTCAGGGTTTCCCACCAGGGATCCCCAGTTTCCCCAATGAATGTCGGGAGTTTCAGCCGGCTGCACATTCGGCGGTTGTGCATCAAGGACCCGGGAAACTGCGGTCAACACCCAGACACCGTGGTTCGAAAGGGAAGATGCGTTGAAACCCCCACGCCGCTGCAAGTGTCGGTGACTTCGATCGACTCGGCCGTCTGGGCCGCAAGAATCTAAACCCAAAACCGAACGAAAGCTGAACTGGCCTGGCTTTCGCTGGGCACATCGAGTGGTGAGCCTGGCGCCAGGCAGCCTCGATCTGAACCAGCAATACGGAACGGGTGTATATAGGGGCCTGAACAACTAGAATATACGAAACCTGGTGTCGGGGCCGCCTATCAGCGATGAGCTAAAGAAAGGACGACTTCTGCATCTTCAGAGACTGTTTACAACAGTTGCAGCCAGCAAGGGGCATGGTCGGTATGTTTGTAAACTTGGAAAAAAGTCTGCGGAAGTCGGATCCTACGATGGTATTCTGATGGGCTATGAAACCAAAATCTGTACAGCCAAGTCCCGTGGCGAAGAGCAGGTACGTGTAAGATTCAGCGGCTCAGTAGTTGGTTTGAGGGCCTAGGGTTGAGGGTTTAGGGTTTGTCAGCTCGTGGCCAACATGCCCCAAGTAGTTGCACGCGATCATCATTGAAAAAGCATCTAGATTTCTCTGAACCTGTCAAGGCAGCAGGAAGTCGAGTGACCGTTTTGATGGGCACCTTACACCTCTCTCTGAAGGGACAGTGTCTAGGATTTTTCTGCACGAACTCCATCTTTCAATTGTGATGTTGATGATAAGTACATGATAGAGCAACCCAGGACAATTGAGATTTTGGCAGCACATCTCGGGACTGGCCACATTCTGGACAAACCAGTTCAGCAGTCGCAGTCATCAAGGCCATCTGGGAGACCCCGATGGCATCACAGGTGCGCATCACTCTGGCATTGAACTGAAGGGTTTGAAGTTCCGAGAATAGTGTATGCTCAGAGGAGCTCCACTTTCAAACCCACGCTGTTTGAACCTTGAGGGTACATGACAACCCATTCCTAATTTTTGCCCGGCTGTAATAAACTGAGAAAAACCTTTCTGAACTTGGAACCCAGCGCAAGGCCCCATAAAAAATTTCGGGTTGGCAGGAGTCTAAGCTTGCAACCCCACTCGGGGCTGACCAGCTGGTCGTCACGGAGCTGCCACACTTGGCCTCCAGTCAATGCGGGCACACATGGCAGGACTTTTAAGGGCATAAACGTGGCTTGTATGAGCGTCCGCATGTCTCCAACATGATCAGCCGCGGTGGAAACCCGGGCGCAACAGGCTTCAAGACTTGGGCGTATGATTTCAGAGCTGCAAGCCATCCCCAGCTACTGTCCGGCTCTGCCCAGATACAGCCCGCATCGAACCGCGGCAGCTGCGAAGCCATCCGAACACCAAGTCTTTAATCCTGAACCGAAGAAATGATCACACCGCCATGGGCCACGACTGTTCGGCGGCTTGCGGTGAATGCACCTTGGCGAGTGTGGTAGGGTTGTTTTGTGTCAGTGAGGTTTGTGCCCGTGACTGGCATGCCTTGCAAGCTCCTGGCTGCCCCAAAACCCGGCAGAACCCGCAAAGAAACGAAAAGTGGTCCGAAGCTCCCGAAGCCCCGAGGGGTTTTCTCAGAGTCTCCGCCCCCGAAAGCCCAAGTGAAACTCATACCCCTGAACGATCACTCTGAAGGGTGACAAGCCACAAACACCCTAGACTTAGACCTGAATTCCTTATAAACCCACAGTTCATCCCTCAAACTAAGAACTTAGGCCCCGGCCCTAAACCCGAAATCCTAATCCCTCTAAAGTAGAAGCCTTAATAATTAGAATTGGGTTTTCGGGCCCATTATACTATGATTATAGGTAATTATTTAGGCTTCTATATTAACAAAGTTGCAGGTGAGGAGCCCGTACGGCCCCGGGTTGCCCAGGCGACCTTGACTTTCAGGGATGCGTTTGGCATTCCAATCCTTATGATTGGCATGTAACATGATCATATATATGAACTAATACATACTTATAGATGTATATTTACAAATATAAATATATATATATATATACAATTTATGTGACTTGCAACATATCAAAGACAGTCTATCATAACATACGGGTTGAAGGCTGCAGCTGTGCAGTTTTTACGACTGAGGGATGAGGGCCCCATGGGTTCAGACTGAAGCTTAAAGGGTTTAGGGCTTAGGGTTTAAGGTTTAGGGTTTAGGGTTTAGGGCGTAGGGCTTAGAGTTTAGGGCTTAGGGTTTAGGGTTTAGGTGGAGATGTGAAGAGCAAGTACGGAATGTGCTTGGTTAATGACACCTTCTCAAGCCCAAACCCATACGTACTCTGAATGCCAAGCTCTACGTGTGATATAGGGGCCTTAACGCTTAGAATGGGGTTGCGGTGTAGGTTGTAGAATTCCTATAGTAGCCCAAGCCTTCACAGGGAACGTTTCAGCTGGGGGCTCCCGAAACTTTGATTTTGGCCTTGCAGTCTGTAGGGCTCTCTCCATTATTAGCTCTCAACATTGTTCCACCGACATCCACCGACATCCTCGAGATCCTCCCTCAACCTCATAACTGAAACATTGGGCAAGCCCAAGAACCAGGAAACGCTGCTTCCACCTGACCAAAACCAGAAGAAGCCCAATCTGCCATCTGGCCTCTACTTCCCAATACTCTTCCTTCGGGGCTCCTGACTCTACAATTTCCCTAAACCCTAAACCCCAAATAACTCTACAATTCTTCTGATTTAAGTCTTAGGCCTTCAATCCACGGTCGCGGCCCTCTGAGCTACGAGCCATCCAAACCTGAGCCCAAGGCTCCAGGGCTTGGCGAGGAAGGGTTCAGCTAATGTGGGGGGCCTTCGACAATTAGAACCGGGTGCCTCTCAAGGGTTCTATAAGATTTTGAAGCATTTAATAATTAGACTGCGGTTTTGGATCCAAGAAGCTAGAGGGTCATGCAGGACAGAAGACAGTACCCCTCCGGCCGCCGGAGTTTTGAATGGCTTTCGGGGCTTAGGCTTTAGGGTTTAGGGTCTCGGATTCATGCACGTGTCTATTGGCATAGGCAGGGAACCCTGACGTCGAAAAGCCCCGTGTTTGGATTCCGATGGGTGCTTTGGTCCCAGGGTTTGGAGTAGAGGGGGTTTCAGACGAGAGCGGGACTCCAACAAAACCGCCAATGGCGGGCTATATAAGCAAGGCATCCCTATCGAAATCAAAGCCTCTATGGGTTTTCAGGTGCGGAGCGCAGGGTTTGAAGCTGGACGCTCGCAGGGGATTCAGGGTTTAGGTAGTGCAGTATGGTTATTTTGGGAAACATTTAAAAACCATAAATGACTAGTCAGGCTTCTAGAAAATTACTACGGCTCATGGCTGCTCTGCAGCTCGGACCGTTCTGATCTAGCAACACACCAGGCGCAGCGAGATCAACTCTGAAAGTTGCTTCGTAGGCTGCGAGCCTTGAGGGTTCGGAGCTTCTTACAACTAAGCGTGTTGTTTTGTGAAGTTCTTGTGGCAAAATCCTACAAGTTGCTGTTAGAGACCATCCATGAACCCAAGTCTCAAGCTTGAAGCCGAAGCCCTGGGCCCCTTCCTAAATGGCCCTAAACCCTAGCAAAGGGACCTGGCCGCCAAGAGGCAGTAGCTGGCTGAACCATGAAGGTTCCTTCAAGGGACCCCTTACGTGGTCCTTTAAGGATTCCATTCTAGGGGCTCCTCGAAGCTCCTGGGTTGGGTCCTTACAGCCCTCTGGTAAAAGATACCTAGGCAAGGTCCTCTAAAACCCTAAGCCCGATAAAGGCAACAATACAGGCCCCAATGGCTCCCGTTCAGAGCGGAACCTCATCTTGAAACCCTACCATAGACAAGATGCTCCAAGCCTTCGTGCCCAACGGTTGCGGAACTCAGAGGGCCGACGGCAGTGGCCGTCTTTTACAAGGGGCCTAGAGTTTAAGAAACTTTTTTGCCTCCCACCTAGCTAGGAGAGTTGAAGGTTTGGGTTTGTGAAGCCAAGGGTTTCCAAAATAGACAAGGAAGGTGTGACTGGAGGAGCTGCACGCGGTTAGGTTGCACATGCTTGCGCCAAGGTTCTGCTCCTCCAAGGTAAACAACTCACGGGGATCGAAATCGCTCAGGTTGAACAAGTTTGCTTCGGGCTTCGGTTTGTTGCACTGAGGTTTAAGGCTCCAGGGCGAGCCTCCACATCCCGGAAAAAGTACCGCTTGTAAGGGGTAGAAGCCAAAACTCCCATCAAAGCCCCCCCCCCCCCCCGTGACAAAAAAAAGCAAGAGAGACCCTAAACCCTAAACATAGTAATCATGCCTCTCTTCGGCCTCTGGTTGGAGTTGTAACCATTCCGGCTTGTAGATTAACTAGCGAACCAACTTAGAACTTACACACTCCAGGGTTTAGGTGTAGGTTTCGGCTTTGGGCCTCGGTAACTCGCCCTGTTCCGTGTTTCGGCTTCCCGGTAACGGCTGGGGCGCTTCAGGCAAGGAGTTCGGAAGTTACGCCCTCAAGGACTTGCGGGTCTACCGTTGAGGGGCTTGGGTTTCAAAGCCTCGCCTCAAGATGCCTCAAACTCCACCCTCCAAAACCTGAACCCTGAAACCATTCAAGCCCAATCCGAATGCCTAAACCCCAAACAGAGATCCCCCAACCGTGCATCTCCAAACCCAAATCCTCCAAAACCCCCATAGGACTTCTGGTAAAAAAGAAAACCCTGGCGGACGCCTCCAGGGGCCGAGACCACTGCAGCAGGAGAGTGCGCCGACCTGCAAAAAATCGGAAGGGGGGGGGGGCGGGGGTGGGAAGGAGCTCACAATGCTCTCACCAAAGGAAGTGCTCCAAAGACCCCTAAACCGGGGCTTTTCTAGCAAGTAAGCAAGGACGAAGCCACCCAGCTTAGGCCTTAAAAGCCCAACCCTGCTAAACCCTCCTATCGGCCCTGAACCCTGCGTTCTGGCTTCGGGATCTTGGGCCGAATGCCATGAAGGTGCGGATCGGAAGGCGCCAGCAGAAAATCTCAAGCTGCTACAGGCCTCATGGCTTTGGGGCTTAGGGGGTTTTGGGTCGACAGTTTAGGGTTCTCAAGGTTTGGCGTTTCAGGCTGTCTCTGGGGTTTCGGCGCTCACACTCAGACAACCCAGACGATCGGGTTCGGTTCCTCGGCTGCTGAGGTCTCTAGGCCTCCAAGGTGGGTTCAGCAAACTAGGGCTTCAGAGCTTAACCTAAACCCTAATCCCCCAAAAAGTTTAGCCTAAACTGAAGCCTAAAGTCACAAGGCCCTAAGTCTTGGTGTCGGTGAGTGCAGGGCTGCAAGCTCAGATGTTGGAAGGCGAAGGCCGCAAAAAGGCGATGAAACGCCGTAACGTTTGAGTTTCAACCCTGAAGGCCCCAACACACCGTTGTACCCCAAGGGCCTTTTGAATTAGAACAGGGCTTTTAAGTTTTCTAATGTACATTCTAGTATAAGTATACTATAAGTATATTCGGGACTATAAAACCCCCAACCTGTATACTTCAATTCTGCGGCTGCGTGGTCCTATTTTCCGATGTCATCTCCGGACAGGCATTCGGCCTGGAGCCTTAAGGCTCGACTTCGATGGGGCATCTCACAGGCAACTTCGACGTTTAGGGGTAGGGTTGAGGGTTTAGGGTTTCACTCACAACTGGGACAAGCCGGGCGAGGTTCCGAGGTACGACGAAAGCACTTTGGCCAAGACGGTAGGTTCACCATCCCAAAAAAAAATCAACCTTTCAAATTTCAATTCACTCCACGTCCAAAAGGCACCAGCTCCAACCTGGCGCCAGTTCCCTCATTCAAACGATCAGCAGAACCTGAACACAGAGGGTTTAGGGTTTAGGGGTTAGGGGGGCAACCTCAAAAGGCAACTTCGACGTAGCCATCAGCCAGCGCCAGCGAGAACACCCGCCGGCACTCCGATCGGTCCCCCTCCAGGCCCAGCTGCAGGAAAACAGGGATCGACCGGCCCTTGGCAAAGTCGGCCGCAGTCCAGTTGCGGCAGTTCCGGATGTCCAGTCTCGCGCCGGCCGCGATGAGAGCTGCGGCACCCTCGAACTGAGAAGAGTTGATGGCTTGCATCAGCGGCGTGCTGCCATGTATGTGGTAGGCAACTGTCGTGAGAACAGTGGTTCGGCCCAACCGATACTGCAAGGCCTTTGCACCAAGAAGCAGCCGGCCCAGTCGCCTAAAGTCGCGCTGCAGATTGAACTGAAAGTTAATGTCGGCACGTAGACCGATGAGGCGCTGTACCAGCTCTGCAGAACCGCCGCGAGAGCCCGTAGCGGGCCAGAGTGCCCGTGAAAGATCCAGCGAACCCGGGCAGGTTCCCAGCATCAGCTCCTCCAAAGCTGCTCTGGACCCCGAAGAGGCGGCAGCCTCAAAACTATTGGCACCAATCAAACTTCGGGCCAAGGGATTGCCGCCCACATGACAGAGAAGTCGGATGTCCTCAACGTTGTCAGACATGGCTGCAAGGTGCATGGGGCCACCAGCTACTCCAGCTTCAAGGTGAGCCCTCGCCGCAAGAAGCAACTGTGTGGACTCGTGGTGCTTGAAAAATATCGCCAGACTCAGTGCCGACATCCACACGGGAAAGCCCAGCATCGGCTCGTCCCTCGAAGTCCGGCAGTTCACGTCTGCATGCTGCTCCAAAAGGCCTCTCAACACCTTAGTGTTCCCGGCCAATGCCGCGTAGTGCAGCGGCCGCCACCCGGCGCTGTCGGCCTCGCCGACGTTCCTCAAGCCGTTCTGGTGGAGAAACTCTGCAACTACATCACCATCACCCTCGCAGCTGGAGAGCATGCCACCCAAAGGCGGAATGTCCAGCCCACGCAGATGAACAGACTGTAGGTTGAAGTGGCGCCGGAACGCAGGGAGGTCCCCCACGCGCAAGCAGTAATTCAGCTTTTGGGCTACGATCTTCAACAAAACAGGGGCTAGCTTCTGGCGATCCTCCGCAACAGTAA